AAAAAAAAAAAAAAAAAAAAAACCTTTTGAAGCAAGTCACTTTATTAAAGGTTCAAACACCAAGACTACAAGTCATATAAGCCAAGACATCAGAAAACAGTGAAAAAAAATTATGGTTTATTCCCAAATACCTGACCTCTTAAACCTCAAATTCCTAGGTCAAACAGGCACTTCAATGAATATATATGCACATACACACACCTGAAAGCTGGTATATGAAAAAAATTGTCCTGGAGAAGAGCAATCCTTAAATATTCTCATAGGATTATATCAAGTTGTCCAACATAATGTAACCATAAGAGAAACACTGCAGAATTAAGTCCATTAGAAAATATCAGAGACAAATTCTGTCTCAATGAATTAAAAAGAAACCTTACAAATAATTGTATCCTTTAGTGTGAGGGATAAATAGATTGATTTTAAATGAAACTACCAAAATCACTTCTTGGCAGATTTAGGTGAGAAACATTGCAAGTTTAGGTTCTTAAATTAATATACAACTAATAGACCATATGATATCTATAACTACATATACAATGCCAGTTTTTAAAAATATCACAAAAAATTAATGTTTTAAATAAATGTTAGTGGGGCCTGGGGAGATAGCTCAGTAGAATAAGCACTGGGCTGGAAGTGCAAGGACCTGAGTTCAATCACCAGTTCTGCCAAAATAAATGTATGTATGTATGTATGTATGTATGTATGTATATTAGTGAATAAGTCAATTAAAGATATTAAATTCATCTCTTCCCTCAGGGTTTTACTTTATACATAAGTAAGTTATCAACTAAAGTGTTAAAAACAGAAATAAACCTATTGTAAGGCAATATCTATATGCAGGTAAGGTTAATACATGTTTATAAACTCTTAAGAAATTATTTGTAAATTTGGTGCTCTTAATGGGTTTTCAAAGAACAAGATTATATTTACTTGTACAAAGAGGCACTTTGTATTATCTTCTTCCTTAAACAACTCCAAATGCCTAAAAGTATTTCTTGGTTCCTCATACTTTAGATCACAAAAGCAAAGAAGAAATTTCACCTGAGATTATCCTTTGGGTTACAGGAACGCACTATATAAAATGGGTAGGCAAATGTCATTCTCCTCCTCATTCAACTATGTCCTTCCTATCTCTTCTCTGGTATACTAACCTCTTAAATCTTCCCACCATAAGTAAGTTAAAAGGAGGATTCAGGAATAAGATTTTGATCAATAATAAGATCTACAAATATAGCATAAAATGAATCCTGGCTAAATTTCATCAATAACTTATTAAATATCTTAATATGAGAACACAAAAGCATTCCTCAAATGAGAAAAATAATATGACTAAAATGAAAATGTAAGAGAAAAAGCATAATTTAAACTTTTTTTTAGAACTGTCTGATTTTAGTAAAACAGGAGATATCATCAAGAACCCATAATCCAAAAGTCTGAAATGTAAAATGCTTTAAAGTCCAAAAGTTTATGACTTCAACATGATATTCAAAAAGTTTCAAGGGGCCGGGTAATGGCTCAGTAGATTAAGTGCTTGCCTGGCAACTGCAAGGGCCTGAGTTCAATCCCTGGTTCCACCAAAAAAAAAAAAAAAAAAAAAAAGTTTTAGACTTTGAAATACTCATGGGTTTTTGGATTAGAGATGCACAACTGTAAAATATACACAAATACCCCAAATCAAAAAACCATAAAATCTGAAAAATTTCCAATCCCAAGAATTTTGGACAAGAAAAACTTCTAATACATTTTAAAGCTGATTTAACTGAAGAAAAAAAATCATGAACCAAAACATGGAAAAACAAAAAAGGGAGAAGAAAAAGTAAATGACTTTGGAAGGTGTTCTTCTGTTACAGGATCAAAAACTACTCCCATATAATGTGTAGATACTATTTTAAATCACATATTAAAGCAATTGAGTGTGTTTATTAAAATCACACAGGAGATTAGCATAAAAGTGAGCTAAAACCTACATATTCTGATTCAAAAAGTCTGTTTTTCACACTAGAACAGAGTGACAGGTCTCAGTGTCCACATTTGAAAAAGCTGAAGGTTTGAATAAATGGGAATGTGACATTTGCCAGATGAAAAGTCTTCCCTACTACGCAGGACACTGGGGGCAAAATCATGGCGTACAGGCCACAGCAGGCATGCACAGCCCCTTCTGTCAACACAAGCCAAGTCACCCCAACAGCCAAACGTTGGATAAGTAGCTTTTTCTAAACTAAAACTTCAGTATGCAAGTATAACTGCAGTGTTGGTACTTTGAGATAAATAAGTGGGTTTTGGGGTGCAGTTTGGGCATTCAGTCTCTAAAGGGTTTACCATCACTAATGTAGGATTTGGAAAAGGAAAGACAGAAAAACACCTGCAATTTTTTATATTGTTTTACAATCTGTGTTACATAGTCATTCCTTGTTATCTCACTCTTCTTAATAATCCTATTGATAAGCATGACTATTATTCTAACGTTAACTTCTTAGTAAAAAAGAAACTACCATAAAAGTATGTGAATGACACAACTCAAAGAAACATTAAGAGTTGAAATCTTCAGTAGATACAAACACACACAATGAAATACGTGCCACCTTACCTCCATCCCCATCGTCTGATCCTCTGAAACTGGGATCTTTTAGCATGTCCAGCTCAGCTAACATGCGCACATACAGGGCATGCTGCCTGAAGGAAGGATAAAACCTTTCATCTCGTAGCATCAAATCATATACCTTGTTGAAATAAATCCAGATAGTCAATGTTTAATACAAATACATGGTGATTTTTCACTAAGACTTCAAAAGCTACACTGAGATCTTGCTATAAAACATCTGCTAAACACGTCAACAATCATAAGACTATCTTAAAACGAGTCATTTTTCTGATCCCACCAGTAGCTAAATTAGATGGTAAAGGGATCCTCTGGCAACACAAGCACATGACAGTGGATTATCCATAATGTTCTATCAAGCAGTGTTCCCTATGAAACAAGTACATGTAATAGCTCATATTAAAATGAATTTGTGATGTGTTATTTATATATCATCAATGCATTAAATTTCAAGACTAGAATAGCTGGTTCTTCAGACAGGTTCAAAGAAAGCAAGCCAATGTTTCATCAGTCAAAGAAATAAACAAAAGAAAACTTGTCTACTAGTTATATTTTGTACCTGAAAAGTATTATAACTAGTATTTTTAGTTAACATTTTTTTAATGTATTTGGTTGTTGCAGCGTCTCACTATGCAGCTTGGACTGATGGTCCTCCTGTTTTCAGCCGCCCAGCGCTGGGATTACAGGTGTGTGCCACTACATCCAGACTCTGGCCAGCTCAGCCTGCCCTGGAGGTGGGGCTGGCAGGGCATGTGGTCCCTGCACTTACCTGAGCAGGCGCTTTAGTCCACTGAGCTATCTGGCTGGCCCCAAGTTACCATTCTTTTTTAAATGTTCCAGTAACTTTTTGAAAAAACTACACGCACACAGAAAAACACATTTTTTTTCAAGAAATATAAAATATGTAATACCTTCCTCTGAATGTCATCAAAGATTTCAGGGGTTGGATCTTCATGATTCAAAGTATCTGCTAATTTTGCCACTAAATAGTCATCAACCGTAACTCTTGGAGATGCCTAACAACAGAGAATAACATTCTAAATTTCCTTCAACTTGTAAACATGGCTCACCATCTTAAAAACTTAATGCGTTTACCACAATAAGAGACATACCCCAGGAAAAGTGAAAGACAGACTGCTAACACTCGTGATTAACAAGAAGTTAATCATAATCATGGTTGCTAACACCAACAGTCAAGGGAAAAACACAGAAATGACTACAGCCTGTAGTCCACAGTCATTCTTTATCTTACTTACACTTCTCAATAATCCTACTGGTAAGAATTAATATCATGCCAAGATTAATTTACTAGTAAAAAGGAAACTACCATATATGTATTTCAGTGACACACCTCAAGCAATCATTTTTCAAAAACTGAAGTCTTCAAAAAGACTTCACAGTAGATAACCCTAAGTTATCACCATTAGATACTAAAACATACTACTTTCAACCTTTATACAGGGTACCCGACCGACTATGGGCTTTGCACTTTTCTTAACCTTTTTACCCAATGCTAAAACAGACATTTATTACAAGGAAATAAGCTCCTGAATATCTATGCAGTAAAATAGTTCAGTGAAAGTAAAGTATTCACTACATGCACTGATGTATACAGATCTCAGTGAAGTGCTGAGAGGGAAAACAAAATGCTAGTGTTCCAGTTATAGATTAAAAACAAATGTAAACAATATATTGTTTGAAAAATACACATTAATAATAAAAATACTTGGGAAAGCAAGTGAATAATGAGCTCCACATTCAGGAAAGTGGCTTTATCAGGAAGAAAGCATAAAACATTATAAGGACAAACAAGTACATAAGGAGCTTCATAGGTGCAGTAATACATGTTTGGTTACTTAAGATGGATGGCATGTTTGTTATATGATTATTCTAAAAACTACTTTGGGTATATGTCATAAGGTAAAATTTTAGTATGTATTAATGAGTTTTTAAATGACATTCATGCATGAAATCAAACATGCATAAAGGGCATAGCCATTAATAATTGTGCAGTGAGCATACTAATCTTGATTCTTGTGGCTATTTCTGTCTACATTATTGAGGGATAGTAATCTCTAGTTTTCTAAGTGATCTATTTCTTTGGTTTTCAGAATCAAAATAATCCCTCATAAAATAAAATGGCAGTTATTTCTCCTCTATTTTCTGAACAGTTTATTATTTCTTCTTAAAATGTTTGTGGGAACTCACTAGTGAAACAAAATGGGCCGGGCTTTTCTTTGAGGGATCATTTATAGTGATTAATTTCATCACTTTCCCCATTAGACGTTCTATGTCCTTCTTGAGTGAGTCAGTCTAACAACTTGGTTTTTCCTAGAAATTTATCCATTTCTTCTACTTTGACTAAGTTCATAATATCTTTTTGCATCCTTTGTAATTTCTGTATGGTCAGGGATATCTCATCTTTGATGATTTTGATAATAACCTGTACCTTCTGTCATCTTTTTATGGTCACTCTAGCTAAGGGTTTGTCAACACTGCTGATATATCCAAAGAATCAACTTTTAGATTTAATTTTTCGTAATCGTTTCTATTTTACTGATTCTCATTCTAATTATAATCTTTGGTTTTGTTCCTTCTATCTGCCTTGGATTTATTTTGTCTTTATTTTTCTAGATTTTCAAGGTGAAAACCTATAGGCTTTGATTTCAGGTTTATCTTCCTTTTTCCTTCTTTAAGTTTACTTTTCAAACAACTATCACATAAGAACTACATATTTAAGGGCTAGTCATCATGTGATGTTAACATATATATAATTGCACAGCTCAAACCATACCATATTCACCCACCTCCTCAAATATTTATAGCTTCTTTGTGGCAAAATATTAAAAATCCTTTCCTCTAGCTTTCTGATATATACACTATCATATCTATAGCAGACCCCATTTCTATACCTATGGACTTTTCTTCTGTTTTAGCTGCATCCCATAAGTCTTTATACAATGTTTTTTCATTTTCAAGGCATCCGTTGTACATGATAAAAACAATTTTATTTGCTAGTTTAAAAAAAAAAAAAAAAAGGAAAATGAAATTCAAATTTTTTTAATATTTAGAAATATCTCATTTCTAAAGGGCTGGCCAAATAGCTCAGCGTATTAAAGTGCCTGCAAGCAGGCGCAGAGGCTGGGGGTTTGATCCCCTGGCCTGCCGTGCCAGCCCCACCCCAGAGACACAATGAGATGGCAATTGGGACGGTGCATGGTGGTGCATGCCTGCCATCCCAGCTCTTGGGAGGCTGTACAACAGGTGGATCACTATGAGTCCAATCTAGTACTAAGACCCTGAACTTCCTGTAGACCATTCCCTAAAATACAAAAAAAAAAAATTACTTTTAAGTACTGATTTCTCAGATTTCCTTCTATTACTCTCATTCTGATTAAAAACCATAATTTGTATGGCTTCAACACCTTTAAATGAAACCTGTTTAATGGCTTAGCAGGTATTTTATCCTAGAGAGCATCCCATATATTCTTGAAAATAAAGTGTATTTTGCTATGAAGAGAAACATTCTTCATATGAATGTTTTAAGTGTAATTGCTTTGTTTTTTGACTTATATAATCTTAATGACTTCACATCAAATTATTTTATCCATTATAAAAACATATTACACATTCCCTTAGTGCTAAAATGTCTCTTTCTCCCTCAATTCTATACATCTGTGTTTCATGTATTTCAGAACTTTAACTGCATAAATGTTTCTAACATTTATATATTAAATTCTACTCTTCTGATATTAGCATAGCCATTCTAGCTCTTTGATTTACTGTTATATGTTTTCTTTTTTCATCCTTTGACTTTCGACCTAGTGTATCTTTTGATCTAAAGTGTATATAATCTTCAATCTTGACTTGGTCAGTATCTTTATTACCTTGAGCATATTACTGTAATTCAGTTTTCTAAACATCAGAATCTTCACTTCAATAATTATAAAAATACATATTCAAGATTGTTCTTGGGATTAAATGAGTCAGTGTTTCTGAAGTAATTATGCCTGGCATAAGGAACACAAATCTGCAAGAATTAAAGAATTGTTATCAAAAATATTGCCAAAGAAAAAAAGTTATCAAAATACAGCCACACCTTTTCTGACAAATATTGTTCATAAATTCCAACAGCAGCTGCTCTTAAAAGACCTTTGGTTTGGTTGGTTTGATGTTTTCCATCTCTCTGACGACTTAGTAAAACTTCTAACTGCTGCTGGGCTGTAACCCGGTACCCTTCTACTGTCATCCAGAAGAAAAGATGTGCCTGACCTCCAGTTTGCTGCATGTAATCTGCCAAACAAAACCCAACACATGACAGACATTAGTTACACAATTTTGAGCCCATGTAGCAGCATAACAAGTTAAGCAAAGATTTAATATCAAGTACTGGAAACCTTACATTTTAAAAATGCTTAGCAAATATTTGAGTTAAAAAATAGTTACAAGTTTGTTAAGCTAAATAACAGAAATACAAAGGGCAGCACACACTTCTAAATTTTAAAACCTCATTGTATATGGTAAAATTCTGGTGAACAGATCTGCTACATAAGCTTTATCAGAAGTAAACTATTTCACCTACATTTAACATCTCTGAATAAAGATTACTAGTAACAATATGCATTTACTAGACACATTAAAAGTATTAACAATTCAACAACTATGTACATTTCTGATCATGTATGATAAATACATGTATGATGAAATTTTCTATGTATGATGAAATTTTCCTATATAAAATTTTCATATAATATGAAAACAGCCCAGATGTGTGCCTAATCTTAGCACCCAGGAAGTAAGCAGGAGGACTACTGTAAGTTTGAGGCTTACCTGGGCTACAGAGTTAAGTTCCAGGTCAGGTTTAACTATAAAGAGACCTTATCTCAAAAGACCAGCCCCCCACTACCAAAAGCTTTAAAAAGTCCTTTACTCACACATGAGTAAAAAATAGTTAAACAGCATAATTATTTGGCACAGTGGCAAATGCCTATAATTAAAGTTACTCCAAGAATGAGGCAGGAAATTCAAGAACAGACTGAGTCTCAACATAACACTTTAAGAGGAGCAGGACTGTAGCCCAGGGCTAAAGTATTTGCCCAGCACCTGTGCGTTCACTCTACTACTGGGGGGAGGGGCAGGAGGCTATTCATACACACTATGTATTTTCAATAAAGTGCTTTCTCAGCAAATTTAAACTCATACTAAAATCTCCTAAAGGGTTTTGTTTTTGTTTTTGTTTTTTTTGAGATAAGAGTCTCACTTTGTAGTTCAGGCTGACCTTGAACATACTATGTAGCTCAGGCTGGCCTCAAACTCCTGGCAATCTTCTTGCCTCATCTTCCACAGTGTTGGGATTACAGACATGCACCACCATGCCTGGATTCCTAGAGTGTATTTTAAAATAAACTGCTTTGAAAAGCAGTTCAGCAAATGCTCAATTATTGTAACAAGCATATACTTCCATCAATTGAAATAAACTGCTATTTCCACAGCTTCTAAAGAATAATAATCCAGAGAATAAAGGGTGCCATCTAATTTGGCAAACAAAATAAAACCAATCCAAATACAATATAAAAAATTTTATTTATTTTGAAAAGTAAAAACAAAAGGACAAAAATCAGAAACAAAGACAAAAACGGTAACATACATGTTACAGATTTTAAAAACAAAAATAGCTGATTAACAATGGTTGATAGGTTAACTATTTTTATCATCAAATCTGTTGCTCAGATTAACAGATACAGTTATGTAAGGTTGAATATTACTGCTTGATTTCAAGAAATTAAAAGAAATTTTTTTTAACTTAAAAAAAAATTATTTTAGGGTCAGCAAGATATCTCAGCGAATTAAGCACCTGCTTTGGCAAGCACAGGAACCAAAGTTCAATCCCTGGTCCCACATGATGCACTGGTCCAGACCCCAGGGCAGGCTGAGCCTGGGATGAGTCTGGGGCGTAGTGGTGCACACCTATAATCCCAGGGCAGAGGCTGAAAACAGGAGGATCACTACTAGTCTGAACTGCATAGTATGACCTTAAAACAAAATAATTTTTTAAAAAATTCTTTTTTTAAATTTTAAGGAAGACATGGGAGTATCTATCTCTCCACCTACAGAATGATTATATTAGTAGAATCTGTGGGGTTACTTGGAACTCTATAGAGTCTACTGAAGAAATTAAAACATGTACAGAAAGGCTTGGAAGGTAAACTGTGCTAGAAATGTAAATCAGATAGCTGCTATGGAAAAAATGTTGTATGTAAAAAAATTAATAAAATTAATATATGACTCAGCAATTCCATTTCTAGGATATTTCCAAAAGAACTGAAAGGATACATATATTCATGGCAGTATTATTCATGCTAGCTAAAACACAGGAACAATCTAAGAGTTCCTTGATGAATAAGCAAAACACTAGGGGTTTGAGAGTATATCTCTGTACATATACAAGCACATGCATGACCGCACATACATAATGCATACATGCCAGTACCCTGGAATATGATTTGGCCTTAGAAGAGAATTCTGTCATACACTACAATAATATGCATGAGTCTTGAAGACATTACACTAGATGAGGTAAGCCAATCAACTTAATGGATAGAGAGCTTCAATTTTACAAGATGAAGTTCTAGAGATGGGGAATTGTCTGTATCTGTATATGTAGCATCACTTAAATACTCTTAAAAGTAATGAAGATATTATCCATTTCTATGTATTTTACCACAATAAAAATACTTGAAATCTAAACGGCTATATTATGTAAATAAAATGAATTTACCTACCCATAAAAAACTGTAGTGCAACATTGTCTACAAGGATGCTGTCCAATGGGACTGTGCAAAGTTTCCCAAAGTTTGCTGCCAGTTTCACAGTATTTATTTCCTACAGATGGATGAGAATATAGGTTAATATATTAACCTATATAAAGCTTGATACTCAAAGGGGTGAATAAAGCTTGATACTCAAAGCAGAATAGGCTTCTAAACACAATTTTATATTTTAAAAGGATTCATTATAAAAAAAGTGTTTGGGCAAACAAGAGTTTTAAATAAAGACACCAAAAGATCACTAAGATTTAAATAAGGTAACTGGCTAAAGAAAAAAGGTACAAATTAAACCATATTAATTCTTCACTTCTAAGAAGAATTTTCACAGGTATAAAGTGGTTATATTTAAGTACAATACATATGCATGTCAAAATGTGGACCTATTTTAAATCTAAATCTTTATCTTTTTATTAGTAATGTTTAAGTTATAATTCAGGTAGCAAACTAAAGTCAAGACTAAAAAATACTTATTCATTCCTTAAGGAATTAAATATACAACTGTAAAACCAATGGATTACAAATAAAATTTTCAACTATAAATCCAGAGCTAATTGTGATTACACTAAGAACTAAAAGTACTAACTTTCCACTTTAAACCTTCAATTTTCTTCTCTCTCCTACAGAAAACTCTACTACCACTACTGTTTGTAGTTCACCTCTCTCAACCGCCTATCTGATAAGACTCCAATCAGGTTTCTTCAGTACTTTACAAAACTGCTCTCACCGGATCCACAATAAACTACAGGGTGGCAAACCCATGGTCGAGCTCAGCTGCCCTTTCCCTTCAATCACTTTCTACACTTGATTCTTAAGACAACACCCACCCCAAGATTTCCTGAAATTTTACTAGCAATTTACTCTTTGGCTTCTTCGTGTTAACTGTATTCACTGAAGTAACTGAAAACTGCCAATTATATGACTGCTTACACTCACGGTTACACTTGGCCTCGTCCAGTCTCTAGCATTAAATAAACATTCAATAATTGTGAGGACCCACAAACCTCTCTAACACTGCTAATGAGCGCATCTGCTAATTTTTTTTTTCTTTTCCAGTTTTGGGATTGAATTCAAGACCTTCTGCTTGCCAGACAGGTGCTTAAGCTGCTGAGTTATCTACCTAGCCCTCTGCTTGAATTTTTAACAGGGATTGCAAATTAAAATATGATTCTTTCTTCCGAATCTTTACACCCTCAGTTCTACACTTCAATAATAGCTCCACTATTCATGTAGCTGCTCAGGCTAAAAAGCCTGGCATCACCTTTGAGTCCCTTATTTCCTTTCTTACCCATATTTATATTTAGTCCATCAGCAAATCCTGTGAGCACTACATCTAGAGAGGTAGAGAGGTCTCCTACCTGGTTCAGAACAGCAATCTGCTAAATGGTCTCTGTTTTCATCCTCACTCTCACCATCCCACTATAGTCTATTTTTTACACAGTCAATCACTTTTTAACTCTTAAGTTGGGTTATGTTACTTGCTATGGCAAATCTCTAATGTATTTCCATAACAATTAGAATAAAAATAGAAGTCTTAATAAGGCCAGTAAAAACCATGGACAATCTAACCCCAGGTTCTTCTATAACTTTACTCCTAGTACAATCCCTCATTCATTCACCAAACTGTAGTGACATGCTCTAACATATCTAGTGTATTACTGTCTCAGAGCCATGATACTTGATTCACATTGTCTAAAAGTCTTCAAAATCAGAGGACTCTCATGCTATACAGATTTTCCTATATCCATAGTCCATATATTACCTAACTGCTCAGTACCTATCTAAAACATGTATCTCACCTGCCTAGGCAAGCGCTGGGACTGGGGTCTGACCCCCAATACCACATGCCATGTCAGCCCTGGGACGCCAGGAGTGGAGAGGCAGCCACCGAGACCAGGAGTGGTGGCACATGTATGTGATCCCCGTGCTGGGGAGGCTGAAAACAGGAGGATCACTATAAGTCTGAGCTGCATAGTGAGACCCCTGTACTAAATAAATTATTAAAAAAAAAAAAAAAAACTATCTTAACTATTTTTTGTATCCCACTTTATTCATGTAAGATATCATAACCTGAGGGGAAAAAGTGACTTTGCATGCTATTTATTTACCTAGTTAGTGGTACTAGGAATTGGACAGAGGGCCTTTGTACTGAACTATATTCCCAGTCCTTTTTGCTTTACTTGGAAATAAGGTCTAAGTTGCTCAGGCTAGACTTGAACTTCTGATCCTTCTGCTTCAGCCACTCCATTTGCTAGGATTAAAGGCATGCACCATCATACCTAAAAACTTATTACTTATTTTGATTGTGAACTAAAAGTAGCTCCAGAAAGAGTTGGTTTATTTTGTTCACCTAATATGGCACTCAATTCAAATACTAAATAAGTAAATGACTAAATAACAGAATTAATAAATTATATAAAGTAAAACATTGAATTACTTGAGCATTCTTCAGGCTTTTTTTTTTCTAGTAAATAAGTTTATTGCTTTAAAAATACTCACACTACACCACATACAAGAAAGCTTTTCTGAAAGTCTTTTTTTGTTGTTGCTTTTGTTTTGGTGGAACCGGGGATTGAACTCAGGCCCTTGTGCTTGCCAGGGAAGCGCTTATTCCACTGAGCTATCTCCCCGGCCCCTGAAAGTCTTATTTAAAGCATTAGAACCTTATCATGTACCATGAATTTTAAATCTACCAAACACTTAAAATTAAGCATTAATTTGAAAGTATTTGAATACTTACTTTGCCTGACTGTAACCGCTGTATTCTTGAGTCACACACTTTCTTTACAAATAGTAGGCTATTTATTTGATTTTTGATAGTGTTAATATCTAAAAATAAACAAATTGATTATGAGTTACAAAGGAATAATGGTACTAGTGAAATACTTTATGTACTTATTGTGATTTAACAAAATAACCAATAAATATGCAATTTTATCCAATTAAAAAGTAACTGTAAATTAAAATTATTTAATTAAAGCCACATCATGCCTACTATCTATACACTAGATATAGTAGCATGAGTTACAGTAGATATAGTAACATTAGATATAGTAGATATAGTAGCATTCCTCATTCAGAAAATAATACTTTTAATCTAGGCACATGTTAACATACTAAGGAAGATTTAGTTCAGGCAAAAACAGTACTGTAAATGCGTTTCAGTAAACGAAAATTTTATTTAAATATATAATAATCCTTAAAGAAAAGTCTTTATTTAAATAAATCACTTACCATCACCAGCTGTATCTAAAGATCTAAGATACTGTAATTCTTCTGCTGCCTTATCCCTAACTGCTTCTAGCTCTCCAACATTGTCACTCAATTTAATAATGTTCATAAAGGCCTCATAATTGCAATTTGAATCACGGATCTGAAAATAAAATTAATTAATAAATTATGTGAGATTATTTAAGGGAAAAATTGAATCCTGAGCGCTGGAACCACAGATTTGGAGAGTCAGTTTGACTGGCTTGAGAGGTGCATGCTTTCTACAGCTAACAGTGGGTCCTTGGGGATTATATTTTATCTATGTCCCCTTCCTCTATACATCCTGGACCCCGTGAATTAAGAAGCTTCCATCTACCACGTCTTTCTGTCAAGATGTTCCTACATTGGAGACAGCCGACCATGGGCTGAAAGCTCTTTAACAGTGAGCTAAAATAAAGCTTTCCTACTTCAAGATTTTTTTTTTTTCTGAGTATTTGATTACAGTGGTGAAAATCTGAGAACAGAAATCTACTATGTGCCAGGCACCATATGCTACATATTCAGTGCTTATAATAAAAAGAAAAACCCCAATATTGGTGACATATAAAGAAGGGTGGAAGCCTGTAGGAGCTTAACAGTAGTGGAGAACAAATCCCCGCAGTAGAGGACAGTGCTTGGCTTTCACGCTAAAGGAAAGCAAAAAGTTACATGAGGTTTAAACAGAAGGGTAACATTCTGTGACCTAAAATAAAACAGACTCACATCAATGCTATATAAAAACACAGTGAAGGTAGGCACAAGAGCAGGAGAAAGACCAGCTAATAATTCAGAAGATGGTAACAGTGCCTAGATGAAGAGCAGTGGCAGGCAGGTACGGAGACAGATGTGCAAATTAAAAGTGCTTTGGTTTAAACAACTGGAGCAATACAGATACCATAAAGATGGAGAACACATCAAGGAGATCAGAAGGCTTGCGAGGAAGCACAGACTGTAAAACCTTGATTCTGACTAATAAACATCCAAAAGGAGACATTAAACATGCTTTTGGACATAAAAGTTCAGGAAAGGGGCCGGCCAAACAGCTCAGTGGATTGAAGTGCCTGCAAACAGGCACAGGGGCTGGGGTTTGATCCCCCGGCTGGCTGGGCCTGCTATGCCAGCCCCGCCCCCAGGGCTCACTGAGATGTCAATCCAGACTGGGCTGAGACTGGGCGCGGTGGCGCGCACCTGTAATCCCAGCACTTGGGAGGCTGTAAACAGGATAATCACTAGGAGTCCAATCTAGTAATGAGACCCTGAACACCCTGTAGACCCTTCCCTAAAATATAGAATAAATAAATACATAAAGTTCAGGAAGGAAAACTAGGCAAACAAATACTTTTCTAAGTCACTGATAGGTGGATGATATTTAAACCCATAAAATAGAGGGAGATCATCAAGGGAGTGAATGGAAATTGAAAAGAGAAGAGATGGACTGGAGAGACTGAAGTGCGAAGCCATCTTTAGTAAGTCCCTCTCATGGGCTCAAAAAGTCCCCACATTTCCTACAATGCTGGGATATAAAAGCACTGTGCTATAGGAAGGAAGTGGTCACTTTAAAAAAGCAATGGCAGTTTAGAGTGGCAGTTCAGCTGCCAGGGATTTTGTAATGAGAGAGTATCTGAGTTTAGGGTCATCCTGCCAGGACCAGAGGAAAGCTGAACTCCTACAGCCCCCTGAGACAAACACAGACTTGCGTACCCATGCACCTCTGCTGTACTCATAAGAATTCAGACTAAATAGAAGTAATGCATAGACACTACCCACCAAAAGCAATCAGGAAATCTACGGTGCTAAGGCCCATACTCTGGATCTGTCCAAGGACTACAGGAGTGACAGATGCAGCACAAAGCCAGGATTTTCTAGCTTCACATCTCCAGGTACAAGCAAAGGTTACCTTGTTAGGTGTGAACAAGTCCAGCTACTGGTGGGCTACTTGAGTACTTGTCATCTAGAACCATAGAGTTGCAGATCAGCCTCCTTGCTCTAAACAGCCTTTCCTACTTAAACAGAGATGGAGAATTCCAGACTAAAAACTTCAAAATTTCATGCCGTGTCTTTTAATAGGTAGCATCCAAGCACTGACTCCAATATGCGCACTACTACAAGGAGAAATGAACTTGGTTTGAGCTTTTACAGTGTTTTTGGTGTTTCATTCTGTACAGCCTGAGTGTGTGTCTGTTTATGTATTTACAAGTGCTAATTACTGCTTTGGCTCAATCTTCCTGTATCCTCTCATTTTCTACTTCTATTCCTTCTGTCTTTCCTTCCCTTCTGATACCCTCTCAAATCACCCTTCTGCCTTCTTTGTTTCCTTGTGTATATTAACCTTAAAATCTGTTTTCTTTTATTCTTTGTGTGTGTGTGTGGGGGGGGGATCATATAGGTGCTGTTTACAAGTATTAAGTATTGCTTTTCCAGCTAAAGTGTTTTACCTTTTTGTTACATTCTCCACAACCAAGGATTGTTTGGAGGGTCTTCTGCATTTCTGCAAACTTATTATATATAGATGCAATCTCCCCATTTGTTTTCTTGCTTTCCATTTATATACTCTTCCCTATTCTTTTTTTCTTTCCTTCCCTCACATAATCTCTCAAACCTCCTTCTTTCCTGTATACAAATGTTATCATTAAAAGCTACTGTTTTTCACCTTTAAGGGGAAAAAAAACCCATTCTTCCTTTTCCCTTTTTTTATTTTTCTCCATTTTACTCTGATTTTCTACTTTGTCCTTTTTTTCCTAGCCTAGTCTACATTTTTCACAGCATTGAGAAATACAAACCCACTGTGGAATATTCTCAAGCTTAAGATCACTATATCCTACAGGCCCTTTCTCTTCCTGGATTAGTGAACCAATAGAGAGTTTTTTAGTGCATTAAAAAGGTGTTCTTTCCAGGTAATGCTATGAAGGGCTTACCCTAAAACTGTATTTTGAAGAAGCTGAGAGGCCGCTAACGCTGAGTCACACCCCAAAACAAGGGCACATTCCTTAGAAAACCTCTAAGAGATCTGCATACCACAGTGGAAGAGACTTCCATTACAACTGATCTACAAACTTCAACACAAAAATACATCTATAAGGAGAAAACAATGCCATAAAATGCCTCCTCCTTCAAAAGCCAGATCCAACAGATAGAGAACTGGATGAAATTTCACATAAAGTTTGCACATGCACAACAACAACAATGACAATACTCAATTGGAAGTCTTGGAAGCAGTCAAAATGAATTAGAAAACTATTAGGACACGAAGACAAGATTAGTGAAAAGAATATTCAGTAATATGAAAAAAGAACAAGAAACAATGAAAAGACTAAATAGGAGCTCCTAGAGAACTCCAAAAGAACAAATTTAAGGACCAGCCTAAAGGAGGGTAGCTAAGCGAATAAAAAAAATCTATTCAGTGAAATTATTTCACACAACTTCTCAAATCTAGGGTATGACAGGGACACCTAGGAAAGGGATGCATTTAGAAGTCAAAACTGTCACAACCAGAAAGACATTCTCCACACCATATCATAGTCAAATGCCAAAAATAATCTTCAGTTCAAAGAAATAATATTAAAAGTTGTCGGACTTAAATACTAAATCATAGCATTGAGAAATACAAATGCTCAAGCTCAAGATCACTATACCCTACAAGACTTTCCTTTGAAAATGAACCTCTTACAGACCTTCCTCGATAGGTATAAACCAGAGAAATTCATGACCACCAAGTCAGCATTACAAAACACACTCAGTGAATAGAAGGTCAAAGGAAACACTGAAGGTGACTAGGACAGTAGGTAAAACCCATCAGAAAAAGAAATGAATCAAACACAAGAAAAATAACAAAATGACCAAAATTAGTACATGCTTTTCAGTAAGCGCATTTAATATAATAGTTTTAATGTTCCAATTAAAAGATACACTGGTAGACTGGGTAAGAACATAAGGCCCAACTATCTGTTACTTCATGAGCCACAATCACAGAAGAAAATGTGCACAGATGCACATAAGCCAAAAGATGAGTTAACAGGACATTATGAAAGTTCTCATGTGACTGCCTCAATTTTTCCAGTAAGGCACTAAGCAAGGTAATGAGCTAAGACACAGGGTGTTTAAAGATGTGTAAAATGAAAGTCGTACAAGTGCAAAAGAGTATTCAGGAGAGTGGGACACAAAATTTTGGAAAATATGACTCCATTAAGGGTAAGGGCACACTGAGATGAATGTTAATCAATTTTAAATAAGTTCAGTGTAGATTTAACACAGTTTAAACCATATTTAGTTGCTTAAAAAGAGTAACATTAGAGTCAGCCAAGGCAACAATGCATCATACAGCAAAGCAAATGACTTACAGCTAACACTGGCCACAAATTTAAATAAGTACTAGAGATTCAACATAGGACCGATGCAATGAGCTATACCCTCATTTATTTATTGTGGGACAGATAGGATCTTGCTAAGTCACTCACCAAGTTACCCAAGCTATTCAAAGTCCTCTGAAATTCCACATGAATTTTAGGATAGTATGTATGTATGTAGGTAGGTAGGTAGGTATATTATGTATGTGTGCATCTATTTCTGAGCAGGGAAAAACAGCCCTACAAAAAAACCCAAAAGTCACTGAAATTTGATAGGAATTATACTTAAGTTGTAGGGTAACATACACATGTTCTCAGTATTACATCTTTTGATAAATCAACCTGGGATGAATTCCTACTTATACCTGTCATCTTTAATTTCTTTCAGCACTGTTTTATGGTTTTTCAGTGTATCATTCTTTCCTCTTGGTAAATTGCTAAGTATTCTGTTGTTCTTGAATTGTTCTATTAATTTAACATTTATAAAATGAATTTTTGTCATTATGCAGAAATGTAACTGATTTTTGAGTGATTCTGTGAATTGCAATTTTGCTAAATTTGTTTTTTTTTTTTTTTTTTTAAGATAAACCGTTTTGTGTTTTATTTTATTTGTGTGTGTGTGTGTGTGTGTGTGAGTGTGTGTGGCCAGCTCAGCCCACCAGGGGGCGGGGCTGGCTGGCATGTGACGCTGGGGGATTGAACCGTGGTCCCTGTGCTTTGCTAAGCATGTTCTAAGTAGGTGCTTTAGACCACTGAGCCATCTCACCAGCCCCGCTAAATT